CGCTCAGTTTCGCGTCATAAAATTGCGAAGCGAAACGGCCATTCTTCGCCGATTAAATCCACTGACGCGTCGATTACTAATTTTGACGTGCGAGCCAATATTTATCCCCTCCCGCCCGCTCCCTCCCCCCTCTCCCTCTCCAGTCCTGTGCACGCCACTTTCCGCCGTATAACTGTCGATATTAATGGAGAACAACTCTTTAATACCTGGGCACCGTCGCGGTGTCAATCGTCGTTCCGATACCGGCCCCGAAAATCGATAGCCGTTTCTCGTTTATCGACACCGCGCGCGCGAGCGCACTTTGTAACGATCCTGCCGATAAACCTTTTTTTGCCCTTCGTGGCAACAATCAAAGTTACAAATTGAATTCGCGTAACGAGCGACACCGCGAGAGGCGAACGTGCGCGCGCGCGCGCCGCGAGAATGACGCGAGGCGTCTCGAGAGATCGTCGCGCGCGCGTGGCTGAAATATCTTTCTGAATGTCTTTCCCTTCTCTCCTTGTTTCCGATATACGTCGCAGATTGTGTCGTTTCCGTCATCAGCTGTTGCATCGCGCACTCGCGCCGCACGTTTCGCTCTTCTCTTCACATCACTCGAAACTTCCCCGTTTTCCTTCATAAAGTCTCCGTTTTCCTTCGCCGAAAATATCGTGCGCGAAAATGAAGAGTCCAATTCGATCTTTATTTAATGCTCGATCTAATTTAAGTCTTTCAAGCACAGGACGCTCAAAATTCGCTCATTATCCGAAATATAATTAAAATATCTTATAATTATAAATATCTTATTAAATATTAAATATTTAATAAGATACTCATGTCAGATATCTAGAATGACAGCCCGAGAGATCATTCCTTCTGAAATTAATTTCTTCTATTTTTGCAACAAAATATTTTCACCCTTATAATCGTCCTTTGATCTTTACGTTATACTCCCTTTTTAGACAATTATCTATTTACCTTACGGGAGGTAAAACAACATATGATACAGCTCCTTTTACCACAAATTATGAAATATTTAATAACACTGTGTATAGATGAAACGGTGAGACTACTGTGCTCCAAAGGGTTAATGCTCTCTTTATGAACGGGACGGCACCTTTTGGTCACGCAACCCCACAGAGGAAACTACTATGGTTGCTACATCCACACATTCTACGGTTAGAGAGAAAATTCATGTGATTTCGAGTGAAATGAATATGATATTAAAAGTTGCTGTTGTCACATGCTCATCTATACAGTATCATAGCCATAGTTCTTATGATATATAATGTCTAATTAATATATCCTCATTAATATATGTATACAATTGTCTCAACCCAAGGAATGTGATTTTCTGTTGTGATTTGCAAAAGAAGTACTATAGTTTAGAGATCCGCAGAAGTTGCGTATAGCACTGAGAGTACTACTCAAATACACATGAATAAGCAGCAAGGTTAGTGCACCACTTCCAGAACACAATTGGTGTTTACACTGGATATTTATGTACACGAATATATTTAAATGTATATTCAGAGAAATAGATAAATATCTGAATAGAGAGAGAGTGATAATTGTTGAATAATTATTAAATGCACATACACCTTAATATTTGACGAAACCCGCGCAGGAGTCTCGAATCGAGTGCTACATTGTCAGAAAACTTCGTATTAAATTTAATAATTGGGATGTGAAGTTTTTTTACATAACTATGTTATAAAAATAGTAAAATCAATATTACATTTAATAACACATAGTTATGAAAAATCATAATTAGAATTGATTAAGAGACTTCTGGATAGCTCAGTTGAAATCTCGATAAAGGCCACGTGACCGAAACAGCCTCGTATTTTTGATATATTGGAAAAATTATTCTAACATATCATAACGTGTTATGATGTTTCATAATTTAATATGGAATTTAATAAGAAAATATGGAATATAAGATATAAATATTAGATTTCATAAGAAATATGAAATATTATAACTAATTTTTAATAATTCTAATGTTATGAAAATCTTCACTGTTATTAATTTTAATATCAAATTCTTAAATCTACGTACAAAAATGCTATTATTTTTAAGAACTTTTCTAACAGTGTAGCTACTGAACATTTTTCATTTCACGGCATTTCTCTATTCGCAATGTTATCGGCGTCTCTCGACGCGGAAGGATTCTTCGATGAGTGACTCTCGCGGGATCAGACAGACAGCGATCTTCGTTTCGGTTTTGATGCTGCACTTTTGCACAAATTGCACTCGCGTAACGCGGCTATTGATCTATCTTAAACGCGCTTAACGGGCATTAACTATTGAAACGGGTTAAATTCGGCGCTGGCGTGCCGCGCCGTTGAATGCGAGCAACGGCGTATGACGCAAATATCCGTATTAACGGCTCAAGAGGTTAAACTTGATGCGGATAGGTTGCCCGTTGAATGATGCATAATTAAGTGGTGTACGTGACACTCGCGCGCGTATGTGTGTAACCGTGTTATTCACTTTATTCATAGTAATTTCGCGGAAAATATGTGAGTGTAACATTCCCGGGGCGACTCCGTCTTTCCTTAGCACGCGTGCATACACGTTAAAATAACGTATGTGTGTATTCTTGTGTAACTCCATGTCAAGTTCCTAATTATTATTCCATTGAACCAAAGTCCGTTCGCGCAAAATTAGCCGGCAGGGACGCCGAGCGCGCGCGCGTAGCGTTACTGAATTATCCCACCGACTCGCGAACAGTCTCTCTCTTTCTCTCTCTCTCTCTCTCTCTCTCTCTCTCTCTCTCTCTCACTCACTCACTCACTCACTTACTCTCACTCTCTCTCTTTTTCCTATTGAGAGAAAAAGTTTGGCCAATTTAATAAAATAACAGTTTGAGTGGTTTGATTTAATATTGAGATAGCAAACGAGCCTGTAGTGAGAACACATGATTTGTTACTTTCAATTTACTGCTATAAGCAACACTTCTGCGATTGAAATTTATCCTTAAGCTGACCTAAATAGACGAGAACAAGTGTGGCTTGTATCTCGGGCAATGTAGGTTTGTTGAAATGATAAATAATGAGAAGTGATTGGTAGTAACTGTTCGATCTGTTTCTCTACACAGAGAGAATTTTATAGCAGAAATTATTACAGCATTTTTAACCGAGGAATAGATCGGCGTATTCTGCAGCGATTCACTATACTTTACTTTCATAACGTGCTATTAACACACTTGCTATGTTTCTAGCGAGAACTGCTGTATTTCTAACGAAATGTACTATGTTTCTCCACAAGACCTTGAACTTAACAGGATAGTCTATTCCTGGATTACTAAAAGTATGTAACGAAACTACACGGAAGACTACTATAATATTCTCTCCGTGTATAGCGATCATCAAGCAGCAAACGTGCCTTTATTTTCTGATAACCGCGGAGTTTTCCTCAATTCTCGATTCGAGTTGGCTCGCGTGAACTATCAGCGCCCCGATATTTTGGCCCGGCGAAGAACTGACTTCGCATCTCCCCGGGAAATCCGTCTGCCTGTCTATCTGTCTGTCTGTCTGTCTATCTGTCTGTGGACTTGAAGTTGGTAGTTGCGAGGCACACACGCTCCGCATATGGTTCTGCGTGCACTATGTGTACCCTATAATCAAAAGTTTCCCTGTAGAAAGTAAATCTTGAGACTGGTATGTTTATCTACGGCAGCGCGCGAGCCGGAGTCTCCGCTTTTTCTTCTTCTTCTTCTTCCGCCTCTTCGTCGTCGACTTCGTTCTCCCCGTTCTTACTTCGTTGCCGATTAAAAGCGGAAGGACACGAGGCGACAAACGATAAAAAATAAGACAGTAATGACGGCGATGACAACGAGAGGATACAGGCGTATGTGGACGCCTTTTCCGGGCATCAAAGAGACGTACGCGCGATCGCTAATTGGCGCGTCGTGGATTAATTAACGCCTCGCAATCCCATTGTGCGACAATTCGTTTTCTACTTTCGCGAAACAACGCGTAAAACTAACGAGATCGTTAGCGGCGGCTCCGGCGTTTTCGCGGAATTAATCGATCTCGCACCGATTAATTGAATTAATCCGCTATTCCGTCCCGTTCGTTTCCCTCTTTTTCTCTTTCTTTTATATATTCCGGACCTTCTGGGAAAGAGAATTAACATCGACGTGAAAATTTAGTTAGATCGACCGTGTCGAATTGACGAAACAATTCATGCGGCGAAAGGCTAATTACGTTAAGAAAGCTACAGAGAAATAGATATGTTGTCCTCAACCGTCACGGATACAATCAAAGAGCTGCTAAGAATCGTTCGGGTGAAAGGCTAAGCTCCTTTAAGAAATGTATGCATTTAAGAATAGGGTGGTCAAAAATATGCAGCTCGGAAATAAACTATTTAGTGACGGTTTAAAAATACAATCAAATGCAAAGTTTCCTCGATTCACGATCTTTTGACCCTCTTAGATAATGAGAATTTACGTTGCATTTTAATGCATGTAAAATATTCTCTTTTCCTCAAATTATGATACATAAAATCTTCCCGACATTCGTTACATAACGTAACTTTCTTATCTCCGATATTTTTTTTATCAGAATATTTCTTGAACGTTTCTATCTATGTGTGTCTCACATTCTTGGCCAACTGACACGATAATGCAACACACTGTGAGAAAAAATATTTGATCCAACTAAAATTATTTGGCGCCAAACATATTTTTTTCAGAAAAATCCTAGTAAAGCAACATGCATACAATGTTATTATCGTCAACATTATAATTTAATAATAAAATAAATTTCTTGAAATATAATTTATAGTAATTATTTCTCTATGTTGATTACAAATAATTATATGTTGTTATAAATAATTGTAAATACATTTTTCTTTAGCATACAAAGCCGCGGAGTATTTCTGAATTGCACTTTGTGCAACAAATCACGAAGCGTCGCGAAGTTTGGATCGCCTTAAAAGCGCATTCCGCTACTCTTGTCTCGCGCTAATTACTTGATGGTCGTTTAAACGATACTTCTTTCGCTCTGTTGCAGGCGATGAAGATGAGCAAAGTGGGTAATCAGACCAATTCGCAGGACCCACAGGCGGTGAATTCACGCGTCTTCGTCGGGAACCTGAACACGTTTCAGTGCAGCAAGACCGATGTCGAGCGAATGTTCCAGCGCTATGGCCGCCTTGCCGGTGAGTTCATTGCGTGAAATTTTTTTATAATCGCTAAGAAATAAACTGACGGGAGACCATTCGAAGATCGAAGATTCAAAGTCGCTATAGAAAGTTGGAAAGAAGAGTTTGATTGGATGAACGAATCTCTGGTGAAATATGAACGACTCAAAAATTCTGAATCGGAATTCATATTTTATCACAAATTTGATTCAACCAGACTTTATCTGATATTTGTAATATTTTTCAGTTCTCATTAATGTTACTTCTATGTTAAATTTTTTGTTAATTATTTGAGAATTTATTTTATATTAGCATCCCTTTCATAAAAATCAATGATCCTTTGAATATGATCAATTTATGAAAAGGACAAAACACATTTTTTAAAATAAAAGATAATGCATGTAGAACTAGTGATAAGATTGTTATTACCGTCGATTATTATTGCCCGATAATTGGCGTTTCTAAAATGACTAATAAAAGTTAAAACAGTCCTTTAGTTTATTTACTATTTTATCCCAAACAAAACTGTCCCTTTTATACCACTTTTCCCCATTTTTCTCTGTGAACAATGTGACAAACATGAGCTGGGAAGCTGAATTGCTCGTAAATATCTGTTAATAAAAAAAAAGTAGAACAAAGCACGTTTAAAAAAAAGAGACTGCTCAAACATTCATGGCTTCCAGAAATAAGCCGAAATCGGCGGATTAAAAATACTCTTTAATCCGTCACACACGTTTACACGCGGAAATTTCAGAAGGCGACCGCGGAGCATTTATAGAACGGCCGTGTAAAATATTCAAACGCTCCGTCAGCGTGTCGCAGATGATCGTGAAAGCGTTTGACACAGTTCGAAATTTTCCGCAGAATAAAAAGATCCCGAGGCGTCGGCCGACTTGCACTGAGACGCATAATAGGATTATCTCGAATACCCGCCAAGTGAACAGTGGCGCAGGGAAAGGGTGAAAACTGATCGTCAAAACGATAAGAGACAATCTAATCTAATTTGGTTCGTGCGCTCTGTGCAAGAACGAACGAACGAACGAACGAACGGACGCAATTCCGTCATTCTCGAATTTGCTCTCGATTTCGCCTCGGGCGCTCCCGACAAATCGAATCGCGTGAGAAATCGGCGGTCCGAGAACAATCGATAATTCGCGATCGAATAACTTATTATCCGGCCCGGAAAAATTGCATCCGGGAAGAATAGCGGCGGAAGGGGCAGCGCGCGCGCTCGCGCTCGCGCGGCCCGGGGAAAATAAGATCCCGGTAACGCAATTTGTGCCACGACGACTTGACCTTCGATAGCTCGAATTGGATATCCGTCGGTCTCCAGTTTCAGGAGGAGGAGCGCCACGATGACTGCGCCGCGCCGCGCTCTCCTCTTCCTTTGTAAGCCGTAACCTCGTTTATCCCGCAATCGCAGGATTTGTTATCCCGGAAAATCATTTTTCCCGCGCGCGCGGTAACCCACCCCTCCGGGAAACAAAATTACGACGGGCGATCGGAGATAATAGATAGAAGGACGATGATAAGCCGGGAATGACGGCGCGACTAGGCTGTAGGTAACTGAGGAATCGCCGATAATACGACAAATTGTTCCATAGAATTCGCCATGAACGATTCTCGCGACATCAACATACTGTTTCTGTGTGTAATCGATGTAACAGTAATAATTATCAATTTATGCACAGGGCAATTCATTTTAACCTCGACAGTGAAAAGTATCTGAAAGTCACGGGGTTGTAGAAGGAAATGTTTTGGACTTAAAGTTTTTGTATGGTTTTGTGGAAGACGGATACTGTCCACTTGACCTTCCAGCGAGTAGCATCATTATACGACCCTCTCGAATCCAATACAGTCTAAAAAATTGTTTTCTAAAAAAGCCCTATAATATTCTCACATATTTGACTGCCAAGGTTAAAATTTCCTCGCTACTTTTAGAGAAGGGATTCTTCCCGTAAACAAATAAATAAATAAGTTTCGTCTCTCTCACAAATAACTGCACATCTAAATATTCTCTTTCTTAACTAGATTTACTGCTTCTAAATTTATTTTAAAGTGAAAACTATAGAACAATTATAATTGTGAATGCTAGGTTTTGATACTTGTTTGTCGACCAAACGGCGAGGCTCTTACACTTGGTATATTATTGCTTTAATTTAAATATATCGGTGTATTGCAGACTTGTGACTTGAGTTTCGGAGGCTGACTGACGAATTTAGAGTGGAATTTTCAGTTACCGAAAATATTCAAATAGATAGTCGCAGATCTTTGATTGTCCTCGAAAAGCAAGCTTCACATCAATATTCTTCATTAGATCGAAGTTCTTCTGAGACTACCAGGCTAATTGGTGAATGCGATTTACAGTCTACTTTCCGCCAAAACGGGAGTTCCTCAAAATGGAACGTGCAATCCGTTATTGCGATTAAATCACCGACTCCAGTCGAAATTTTCCGCTTCTCCTCGTAAACTGGTCAATTAAACTAACATTCGCTTCGAGCGGAAAACAGAATTTGATATTTTCAGTCGCCATGACTTAACTTTACTAACTCACGCTTTCCACGAAGAGCAATTCTGTGCTCATCAGAAACGCGGCAATCTCGACTTTACGACGGTTTTATTTCGAGATACTATGAGTCACTAAGAACGAAGATATCGACGACCGTATCGAGCTGTGCCCTCGATCGTCTCGGCACTACCGCGCTCTCTTCAAGTGGATCGCTAAAAATGTATCTGACTGAATCAGTAAGAGGAGCATGTCAGTGATGATACACTGATTGTGCTTTACTGCATTCAATTGTCACACGTGGCTGTCATTCAGCAGTCGCTTTACGTCACGCGCGAACTACTTGCCCTCCCCCCTTCTCCCGCTGTCATTGACCTTTGAGCGGAAAAATCTGTACAACTGCGGGAGTAAAGATTGACATACTTTTTTTCTCGGGTTTTCACTTCGAAACGTAGCCTACGTCCGATAGAAAAACTCGTTCCTGACAATTTGCAGAAGACAGGTTTCCTTAGTGGATGTCACGGGTTAGTTCTGCATCGAATGTCAGAAAGAGCGTCGAGCTTCATGTCCGCGATCGTACGATACACACGATTAATCTGTCTGAGGATTATTGCTTTCACCGTCAGGCGGATGATGTTCAAAAATGTCCGCTGAGCAGATAAACGAGTGTCAGGCGAGAATGTAGAATGGACATGTCAAATAATCGATGCAGCATGAAAGCAGCATTCGACGATCAGATATTCAGGAATATTGAGAGAAACTCTAAAAACACCCGGTAAAGTATTCAAGAAGTGACAAAGATAGGCTCGTGTGAACTAAATCGCATAGACGATGTGTAAGAAGAAATGTCAGTTCGACATCTCGCTATCTCCTCTTGTCAGTGCAAATAATTTTCTTATTAGTCCAAGTTTGGAAGCGCTGTAGCTGATTAAGACAAAAAGCTTTTAGCTATTTGGTCATTTAAATATACATGTTTTATTTGAACAAGTAAAAATAAAGACACACTATAGATAGAATAAAAATAGATCTGTATAAACGAAATCGCATAGACGATTCAAGATGAAACGCGTTAATCAACATTTCGCCATTTTCTCTTGTTAGTTACTTCTTTCTCCAAGTTTAGAGGCGCTGTAGCTGTTTGGGACAGAATTCGTATAGCCATTCGGTTACATGTACAATTATTTATGAATGAAAGGAAGTGAAAATCCTTTGGGATCTTTTGGGTGATTTTCCTCGAGAACGGTAAAAAGCTCAGATCCAAGAGTCACATATTTAAAATCGACTCGACGTGAGCTTCAATCGTATACAAAAAGGAAAAAAGTTGTCATCATTGAAAATTTTTTAACACTATATTCCAGTCCCTAAAATATAAATATGGAAGATGCAAAGATAATAGATTATCGCTAAATGTCGGTCACTATTCGTCGTTTGCAAAATTTTATATTAATTTGCGCCGGGTATGAACCAAAATCGAACAAATGACTAATGTATTATAATCGTAGACGTGAGAAGAAAGTCGAATCGATATTCCAGCGCGATATTCCTTCTCCATCAAGTTTCAAAAGTTCTCCTGTCTATTTCTTCCTGTTTGAGTTTAGAGGAGCGCTCAGGCTGATAAAGAGCGAATTTCCATACGGCGGGTCGCAACGATTAGCTGCCTGAGAAGTTGCACCGACGAAATTCTGACGAATGCAGCGTCCTTCTCACCCTCCCCCCCTCACCCCGCCGCTTCAGTGTCCTTTAAGGACGAGGAATGCCGTAGTATTAGCGAAGCCCGATGTCCCGCCGCCGGCAATATCGCGACGCCGGGCGTCGCCGGACGCGTCACCGGGAGGTAGTTATCCTGTCCGGCGATCGCAATTCCGGGTGTCGCGCGTCGAAATTACAAGGAGCTGCCGGCTGCCGATAAACAGCTTACTTTCTCAATAAAGGACTACGAAGACAATAAGGCCGAGTTCGTTGTCGCCGGAATTAAGGCGCTCGACGGATTAGCGGGACGCCGATACGAGGGATAAGCCGCGCCCTGTCGAAGTCGCGCGACGCGCTCACCCCGGCGTGCTCGGCGCGCGATAACGGACAAATTGCAAATTCTACGAATCGAATATCTTTTTCGCAAACAGCGAAAAAAGCGTCTAATGCGAGGATATATATATATATATATATATATATATATATATATATACCAGGTCTGTAAATATGAAACCGGAATTTGCCCATAGATGGTCCTAGCTGTCAATGTAGTTACCGTCAAACCGCGTTATTGGCGCCATTTCCTTGTTGACATCTCTGACAAAGATTTTCAACTCACGACAATACAAGTTTCATACAACAGCATAATTTGTAATAGCGTTGAACATGTCGAATTTTGTGCCTGGAAACTACGATTTGCGGACAGCATTGATTTTCTGTTACCATTTGAAGAAAACTGCTGCAGAATCGCATCGAATGCTTGTCGAAGCTTACGGTGAGCATGCTCTTGGTAAATCATAGTGCTTTGAGTGGTTTAAAAAAT